GCTGCGCTTGGCGCTCGTGCAGCTGCTCGGCCTGGCTGTGAGACTGGGCGGCGCTGCGCTCGCTCCTTACCTCGACGACGCGCTGCGCGTGCTACGCTGTACGCTGCTCGACCCCTTCGCCGCTGTGCGCCGCGAGAGCTGCGCGTGCGCCGCCGCCCTGGCGCGCGCGACGCCAGGTAACGCGCTCGCCGAGCGTCCTCAGAAGCCGGGTGTGAGGGGGTTGCGCGGTGTTTCGGGGGCGCAACAGCTTCCAGCACACTTGCCTACGAAGGCCTCAGCTGTGGCCCTGAACGGGTGGTTTACTCCTGGATCCCTGCAGCCTCTGCTCTTTTCCATCCCGTGCTTCTAAAAAATAACATGGAGTGCATGTTTAAAATGCAAATTCCTGGATTCGCCCCAGAAAATTTTTTTCAGTAGGTCTGGGATGGGTGCCTTATGTTAGCTGTCCCCGTCCCCGGGCGATTTTAATGCAGGCGGTTAAGGGAACCCTCTTTGAGAAACGCCATCCTTTCTCTATTCGTTCTCGTTTCTGTACTGGAGGCCACCTGTCTTCTCTCCTTTGCTTGAACCACTGTTTTCTTAATTGGGCTTCCGTTTAACCCACTCTCCAAGTAATAGCTGGAGTCATCAACTCTGATCAAGACACTCCCTGTTCCTAAGTGGCCATTTCCCCACAGTGAAGCCCCTGGAGTGGTTGGAAAGGCTCTGCAGGATCTTACTCCCTCTTCGGGCTGTCTCAGGCTGGGATATGGAGTGATAGGAGGAGCCCACTTAGTGGTGTCCGGAAGGTTTACTTTAGGAGGGAACGTTCAAGCTGAATATTGGTGGATGGGACGGAGCTAGCCTTGATGAAAACGTTTGGCAGGTTTCAGGAAGAAAAAGGAGGTCCAGGTACCTAGAGTGGAAGACATGAGGGACAGGTGGGCTGGGGCTGGAGGGTGCACAGTCGGATGACACGGTAAGGATTTGGTTTAATGTCTAGTGCAGTGGGGACCCATGGAAGGGTTCTGAGAGACTCGGATTGTGTTTTTAAAAGGTCACTGGCAGTTGTGTGATGAGTAGATTATAGCCGTGGCAAAGAGGAAATGGGGAAGCCATTTGGAGTCAATTATTAGTCCATGTTTTAGATGGTGTTGGCTTGGGCTTTTGGAGTGGGAGACCTGTCTGCTAATAGAAATGAAAAGTGGACAGGTTAGGAATATTTTGAAGGTAGAACTGACAGGATTTCCTGTTGAGTTGAATGAAGGGTGAGGGAGAAGAAGAAGGTTTTGGGTGGACAGGAAGACGGGGAAAGAAGTGGATTTAGGGGAATATCCAGACTTTCAGTTTGGTTACGTAAAGTTTGAGATTTCAGATTGGCAGTCTAAAATTCTAGTAGCCTGGGGGAAAGGTTTGAGCTGGCGGTAGCCACTGGAAATAATAAACATTTGATGCGTTTCTCATCGACCCTCAACCACCAGTCTCCCTGCTGTCTGTGCATCAGCTGCTTCTCCTTCCTCCAGGGCCTCCCAGCCTTTGTGTGAGCTGTTCCCTCTAGGTTGTGAGCCCCGAAGGACGGGGTGTGCCTGCCACAAAGTAGGTGCTCAGCATGGCCACACTGATTACTTCCTGTGTGAAAGGTTTTTCCTCTGCTTGAAGCATCTCCAGCACATCCCCTCCGTCCTTCCCCCCGCTTGTGAGGTGGATTCCCATCACAGTTCTTGTCACACTGGGTGGTAGCTATCTATTGTCTGAGGGTCTGAGAGCTCACATAACTTGCCCAAAGAATTTTTGAAATAACCACTCCCAATCCCAGTCAGTGGCAGAACTGAGGGCAGGACTCAAAACAGGAGGCTTTGCCTGGCTACCCTGAAGGCTCTTCTGGCCCCAACTTTCTGTTAGGACCTCTTAAATGTGAAATGGTGTGATTTTACCTAAAGTGGGGCTGCGTCAGCACCCTGAAGGCATTCTGGCTTGATCAGCTTCAGGCATGGCTGGATTTGGGCACTTGCACGGTGTGCTCTGGGCTCTTGGTGTCCTTCCTTTTGTCACTGCCCCACGCAGGTGCCCAACGGAAGCTGTCAGCCCCTGCAGGCCTTCTTCACACCTCCGTTTTCAGTTTAAGTGGAGTGGAGCCCCCAGCTTTCCCCAGTGATCCCCAAAAGCCTCTGAGTGGTCCAGATGCCATAGGGTCACATGCCGATGCCTGAGCCTCTCCATGGTCGGAGTGCAAAACTCTGATTGGCAGGCCTCAGTCACGTGCCCATTCCTGCAACCTGGGCCTTGGGTGGGGGTAGGGAAGGAATTTGGGGCCTTGCTGTGCACAGACCGGCCAGGAGCTGCATGGCTTGCCCATCCTCGATGCCAAGGAACAGGGCCAGGGCCAGGCACAGGAAGAAGCCCTGTAACTGCCTCCCCTTCCCCCCATCCCCCGAAACTACTTCCACATGCAGTGGGAGTCTGGCCTTGGTGCTGCTGGGCAGAGGGAGAAGCCCTATAACCACCTTCCCCCCTCCCCACAGAGCACTTCCACATGCAGTCTGAGTCCCTGGTGGGCCCACTGATGCAGACCATCGCCCACCAGCACTGGAAGGTCCGTGTGGCTGTCATTGAGGCCACGGGCACAGTGATCCAGTTTGGGAACGGGAAGTCTGTAGACGACGTGCTCTCTCACCTGGCTCAGCGGCTGTTTGACGACGTCCCACAGGTAATGGGTAGTCTGTTCCCTGCCATCAGGCAGCTGCAAGCATCTGTAACCCGCCCTCCTGGACAGTTGGTCTGTCCTTCAGGCAGTGCATGTGTCTGTAACCCATGCTCTCTCTTTGCAAGGTGTCACCTGAAGCCCCAGCATCCTTCCATCCTGCTCCCTCACAAGATGCTCTTGTTCAGCATCTTAGAGAAACTGGGGTGGGGGAGGGGGGTGCTGAATCATTCCCACCTATTTGTTTGCTTAATTCGGAGGCATGTGGGAAAGGGTTATTGGTGTAATCATTGCATCTTGGAAGAAAACTCTAAAACGTTTATACCAGTTATCTGCAGAAGCATCTCTAATATGCCAGCCACCAAAGCAGATGTTATTTAAAAGCCATAGTGGATGGTGGACCAGACTGGATAGAAGGGCAGGACTAGGTCGGCTTGTTGGGGATAACTTGTTTTGTTGGAGTTTGAGGGAGAGAAAGAGATCGAGGCCAGAATACTGGCTTTCTTACTAGCAAACTATGGCTGGGAGGTGTGTCTTAAATCTGAGGCCAAGATTGGCTTGCTTATTAAAACTTCATAAAACTGGGATTACAGAGGAGCAGGCTGGAGGCTTCCCAGGGGCACACTCTTCACTCAGGGAGAAAACACAGACAGAAAGGTGGGGCCAAATGCTCCCAATCAGCTGAGGGGCCGCAGTGGTCATCCAGAGTGGTTACCAGGAGCCCTTGCCCCAGCAACTTGGACATCACGCTGGCGCAGTCAGAGAACTCCCACTCTTGTGTGCCAGCCTCCCATTTCCTTTCCGGGTATGATCTCCTTGATTCCTCCCCAAAACCTCACACACGAGCAACTGTGCCATGGGGCTGGCTGACTGCGAGAATGTTCTCTCCTGCACAGTGCTGTGCCCAGAGTTTGCACACCATGACATTGAGCCTACGTGACTCACACACGGTCTGGCTCTGTTAGCATGTGCGCACAGACTAAAAAGGCTAGAGGCTGGTTCCAGTCACACAGAAGGTGGAGAGGAGAGGGCCTGGGAAGTGATGAAGCCCCCCCACCCAACTCCACCTGAGGAAGGCAGAGAGTGCAGAGATGGCTTCAGTGCAGGCTAGGGTGGGGGGCAGTCCTGCATCAGGGGCTCCGTGGAATGGGGTACAGGGGCAAGATAGATGGGGGGTGGGCCTGCACCGGGGGCTCTGTGGGATGGGGTGTAGGGTGAGATGCTGTGTCCCTCAGGCGCACCGATGGCCAGGACTAGAGAGCAGTTGCGGTGTCTGAGGTGTCTCGGTGTCTGTGGCTGTTGAATAGGCAGGTGCTATGGGGCTGATGCAGTTCAGCCCCAAGTTCAGGCCCCGCTGGCTCAGTCTCACACGAGAAAGTGAGGGAAAGCAAGGGAGGCGGAGTCTGGTATGAAGCAGGAGCTGGACGCATTGCCTGTGCTGCCCAGGCTGCTGACTCACCACCACTTCGAGAGTGTTGCTGTCACTGAGCACCTGATCAGACAGGAGCACCCTCCTGCTTGCTGTATCCTGCGCTTCAGGCACCTCACTGTGCACGACTTTGCTAATCTGTTCTTGTCGGGAGAAACCTTCAGGGAACAGTTAGACAGATGGGGAAGGCTGGGAGGCACAGTGCCTGTGTCATAGGTGGAGTGATTATCGAGTTCCTCTTCTGAGGCCCCATGGCTGAGCATCTCGGTATCTGGTTCACATGGCCATGGAAGCTCTGGGGAGCACAGTCAAGAGAGCCTGGCCGAGGGCTGTCCTTGAACCGCAGTGGGACCATGTGCCACCAGTCAGCTGAGGGCAGGTGTGGCTGAGCGGCCAGGACAGAGGAGGGCTGGGGGCTGGGGCAACACCTGCATTTCATCTCAGGCTTTGCTCTTGGGGGGCTCAACCCAAGACCTAGGTGTGTTTTTAAGCTGCTTATTACCCTTCTGGTACGGGGGCAGGTGGAGACCTGTCTCTTCAGATTCCCCTCATGTGGGGAGCAGGTGGAGCCCCCTCTTCAGGCAGCAGCAGCAGCAGCACTGAGTGGTGCCCTGTGATTGCCTGGAAGGGCCTATGGCTCCAGGACCAGCAGCCTTTGCATTGTGCCCTAGATATGGGCATTTCCTACTAGCTGGCCACAGCTTGTCTCAATAGCCATGGGGAAATACTCCCTGCCTGACCAGGAATTGTCATAGAGAAGACTTTGTATCACTTGGAACAGCAACTGTGGGTTCCCACTCTGGACACCAGGGTCAGCCCAGAGCCAGGGCATGAGCTTGAGCTGGAGACATTGCAGTGTCAGGGACCAGCAGGGCTGCCGGGAGGCCCTAGAGCCTGGCCTGGGAGCTGAGTGTGGAACCTGGGGCCCGGAGCTCAGTGTGGCCCTCATGCTTCTTCATGTCTGAACCCTTCTCACTTTCTCTGACGCAGGTGCGGCAGGCGGTGACCTCCGTGGTAGGAGCCTGGCTGCTGGAGCTGCGGGACCGGTACTCCTTCTTCCACAAGCTCATCCCACTGCTGCTGAGTAGCCTGGATGACGAGCTCCCGGAGATCAGGTGAGGGCACAGGGGATGGGGTATGGGTGAGGATGTGGGTGGGCGGCCAGGTGAGGGGCACAGGCGTGGGGGGTGGCTAGGGTGCAGGGCGGAGACGTGGGCTGGCATGGGTGAAGGCGTGGGGGGCAGATGAGTACATAGGCACGGAGGGCAGCCAGGGCAGGGCTCACTGAATCCCATTCCCCTGAAACATTGTAGACAGTAGGTTCCTTCCTTGTCATCTGTGTACCAGGGAACCTGCTTTCCCAAGTTGCCACTCACAGCAGTGGCTATTTCTCTTTGCTTCAGAGTCTTTTAGAAATCCACCCTAGTCCCTTGTTCTGATATAAGACTGTGGTATGCAGGGGATCTCTGACTGTGAAGATACACTTCTGCAGCTTTCTGTATTGTGGTTGAGCACGTGTGTTAAGTCAGGTCATCTCCTTCTAGTACTGTCAGTGAAGTCCTCAAATGCCTGACAGAACTCGGGTGCTTGTCAGGGTGGGGACCATCCCGCCCTCTCACCAGTGGAGTGTGTTTACCTAAAGCCATATCCCAGCTCAGTGGTGACTGGTCACACGGGGTCCCCTAAGTCTGTAGGAACTGACCACCTTTCTGGAACCCTCCACTGCTTCCTTGGGTGTACACTGACCCTGCATGGTGTCTGTTCTTGTTGTGCCACAGACAGTTGGCCGCCAGCCTCTGGGAGAAGGTTGGCCTCCAGTGGCAGAAGGAGAACGAAGAGGACCTGAAGGACAAGCTGGACTTTGCTGCCCCGCCACCCCCGCACTACCCGCTGCAAGGTGAGTGCTGAGAATTGGTGCTGCCTTCCCCGGGGACAGGACAACGAGCAGACCTTTGAGCTGCAAGGAAGGCCTTTGGCTCCTGGGTTCTGCCTGGACCAGAGGGGCACGGTGCCCCGGCCTCAGGTGACAGGCGAGGCACCTCCTGTTGCAGCCATGCTGTGTGGTAACCTACGCAAGCCGAGGGGTGGGAAGCGCCATGTACAGCTCAACATGCCTATGTGGGGCACCTCTGTCCTCCCACCACTGGGAGCCCCCATCACCCTGCCTGGGGTTCTCACTTCCTTCTGGATGGGTTCCTGTTGGAGTGGCAGAGGCTCCCAGAGAAGTCCGCACTTACCGCGCTTCCTTGAAATCCCTGGGCTCTGTGGCTGTGGGGTTTCCTGAGCTCGTGTGTGTACACACAGGGGTGGTCCAGAGAGCAAGAGGGTGCTTGTTGTGCAGAGGGAGCTGAACACGAAGGTCACGGACGATATGAGATGCTCGAGTTTCAGAGTCATGGCCACACATGGGCAGGGTCTCCTGTGGATGCGTCCTGTCCTCTCCAGTTATCTGACTCCTGCCAAACTGTGAGCACGTGTTCATGTGTCTGCTGGTTCGCTTTTCCTTGAACCATAGACAGAGTGATACCACTGCATACCACCCAGCCTGGCACCCTGGCCCTGTCCTCTGGCGCCCGCTACTCGCCGCAGGTCTTGTTTGTTTAAAAACTCTTTGCTCTCAGGATTTTGGGTATCTTCCTTCACTCTGCTCTGTCTGCAGGGCATTTTCTTAGAATTAAGTAATAGTGAAAGACATACGGACAAGGATGAGGTGGTTACAAACGTACCCAGGTCAAACCCCAGGTGTGGGAATTTACAGACCAGTACAGCTCTTTACAAGCTCGCTGCAGTCTGCCCGCACATAGTCTGCAGGAAAGTGTTTATAAGGACACAGGGCCATCTTGCCAACATGAACAAGCCTGGGGTCATCCTGCATCGGCCACATGTGGGAAGTGAAAAAGGGGCATGGGAGCCGGCCAAGTTGTTAGAAAGATGTGCCTCTTGGAACGTTGCAAGCACCGAGGGAGCAAAGAGCTCTGTGCGCCCTGACTGGTCTTTTCCGAGCACCTACTGCGTGAGGTGCCCTCTTCTAAGTGCCTACTGTATGCGGGGACCATGTGACAGGCTCCATTTCAAGGCCTTCTCATGGCTGGGGGGAAATAAAAGTTCTTCAAGTTACAGACTGATTTAGAAATAGTTAAAGGATGAGGGGATCTTTCTAACCAATAGTTACGAAAAGCTAATTAGTTATGCATTCTGAGACTTGGAGGATATAGTTATGCTCAGAATATTTTTTTCAACTTGAGCGAAATAAATTTGGAATTGAGTTACAATTAAAGTTAGTGTCATAAGCATTAGATATCTTAGCTTTTTGGCATATTCCCCTGAAATTACTTTGTTTTTTAGTCTACAGGTTTGAATTTTAAACCTAATTTTTCAGTTTGTTTGTTTTTTTTTAACCGTATCTCAAACCTCAGAGTATGCCAGTCTGCTCCATAAAACCTCCTCGTCAGCCATCCCACCCCCCGGCTCCTGCTGCCTCTTCGTGTGGGGTCTGTGACACCCCCTCGTCCAGTTCACAGCACCCAGCCCCTCAGGGCAGGCTGCCTGCTTTAATTATGATATAATTTACACCAGTGGAATCCACCCTGTGTCGTTACAGTGCTTTGTTTTGACAGGCATACAGTCCTGTGACTCCACCACAGTCAGGGCACAGAGCATGCCCATCCCCCCAAAACTCCCTCCTGCTCTCTGGTGGCAGCTCCCCATGCCCCCAGCCCCAGCAATCACTGATCTCTTTCCTCTCCCTATAGATCTGCCTTTTCCAGAGGCCATGTGAACAGGTCCATACAGTGGGTAGCCATTCAGTCTGGCTTCTCTCACCCAGCACCGGGCCTTGGAGACGCACCCATGTTGCTATGTGTTATCAGGAGTTTTCTCCTTTTTATTGATGAGTAATATTCCATTAAGGTCCCTACGTGATGCACACAGTTTGCGATCAGCTGCTAACCAAAAAGTTGGCTGTTCAAACCCACCCAGCAGCACCATGGAAGAAAAGGCCTGACTGTCTGCAGCTGTAAAGATTATAGACAAGAAATCCCTATGGGGCAGTTCTCCTTTGTTCCATGGGCTTGCCATAAGTCAGAATCAACTCGACGGCCTACAACAACAACAGTATTTCATTGCACTCCAGTCTGTTTATTCCTTCACCAGTTGGAGGGCATTTAGGGTCATTTCTAGGTTTTGGTGATTACAGATAAAGCTGATATAAACATTTGCGTGCAGATTTTTGCATGAATATAGTTTTTATTCATTTGGATAATACCTAGGAGTGGGATTGCTGGGTCATGTTGTAGATGTGTATTTAACTGTATAAGAAACCGCCAGGCTGCCTTCCACAGTGGCCGCACCATTCTGCATTCCCACCGGCAATGGATGGGGGTTCCTGTTGCTCCACATCCTCGCCAGCACTTGGTGCTGTTGGGGTTCTTTGTTTTGGTTTGTGTTTTAGCCATTCTAACAGGTGTATGGGGTTATCTCATAGTGGTTTTAATTTGTAAGTCCCTCATGGCTAATGATGTTGAGCATCTTTTCGTGGACGTATTTCATATGCTTGTCCATATGTCTTCTTAGGTTATGTGTCTGCTTAGGCCTTTTGCACATGTTTTAAATTGGGTTGTTTTCTTGTTATTGAGTTTTGAGGATTCTTTGCCTATTCTGGATACAAATCCAGTGTCAGATATGTGTGTGAAAATATTTTCTCTGACTAGGTTGCCTTTAAACTCCCCAAGCTTGTTCCCATCAGACGGCCTGACATGTGATGCTCCCCCGCCCCCACCCCAGCTCTTCCTGCTGGCTTCTCCCTCCTTCCGCCTGCTCTGCTTCCTCCTGGAACGCCTCACTCTGAGCTCATGTTGCTGCTGATTACGTTGTCTCGACTGCTACATCCCCACCTGAGACAGGTCCCCCGCACCTGGGACAAGTGCTTCCAGGTGCTGAGCTAGCTCTGCAGACATCAGACCAGTGGATGATGTTTTTCTCCTGTTGAATGTGAAGGTGGGACGGCAGGCCTGGGGTCTGAGAGTGGGCAGAACTGTCTGCTGACGTCCACTGTGCTCAGATTCAGTGACCTGCCGAGGAAGGAGCTGCAGGCGCTGTACCTGAAGTCTGATCAGAGTCCAGTTTCCCCTTTCCAAAGAAAACAGGGTGTTAGAGCACAGACACATACTCCACGCACACATGGTTTGTCATCTTCTCTAAAGACACCATGTGCGTTTCCTGCCCCAGCCCTGGACATTGTCTCTACTGTAAACCCAGCTGCGTGCCAGGAAGGGCCTCCTGGAGCATCTTTGAGTTGGTTACTCACTGGACAGTGCACAGGTGTCTAGTACAAGCACAGGTTCATGCTTGATGTGGGCCTGATGATCACCCCACGGGTCCCCCGCACCCCTGCACAGGCCCACCCAGTGACAGCGGGCTCCAGGCTCCCTTCTTCTATGAAATCATGTCTCTGTTAATGTTGTTTTCCTGGTGGCACCTGAGTGAGGCAGGAAGCCTTCTTCGTGGTACTGAGTGGCTGTGACATGCCAGATCTCTTTTGCACAGGAGAACAGAACTGGCTTTTGTTCTTTGTTCTTTTACCTGTTTTGGAGATGAGTCGAGTTCCCTATAAAGTAACCCTATAGGCTGCTTTCTATGTGATGCCCTCCCAGCGCCACTCCCTACCCGAGAGCTCGGCTCAGTGGTGTCACCTTCTGATACCCAGGAAGACGGGACCTGAACAGAGGTGGTCAGAAGTGCCGCATGTGCAGAGGAACGAGGAGGGGCTCAGACCGGCTGGAGGAAGGTGTGCATTGTGCAGACTGCTTGGAATGTGACCCACTCTGTAACAGATGTGACTGTTAAAAAGGAGTGACTCCCCATTCGGGGCTGGTCCTTTCCCATCATTTAGGGGTACAGGCCATACCTCACCTGTTCTTTACAGGTGAGGCTAAAAAGGCTGCTGCCTCATCCACAGTCAGGAGTCAATAGCAGCTCCATGAACTGAGGGCTTATGTTCTAAGCACGTTCAGAGTCCCTGTGACCCCCAGCTCTGTGTCCCTGTCATGAGCTCCTGGAGTCTCTCCTCTGTCCTCCTTAATAGTCTGTAAATGTACAGAGACAGGGAGACCACCATCAGGTTTGACAAACAGATGAAGAAATGGATGGACTGTTTTTCTGCCTGTAGTTGAATTGAACTTTGTGCAAAAGTAAGGTGATTTGATGTTCCCGTGCTTCTGACCTGATGACATCTGTTACCACTGGCTTCTTCTGGACATTGGAGACAGAGGAAGAGTGGTGTTTGAAAAAGCAGCACCGTGGGCAGAAAGTCCATTCACCTGTGCTCCAAGGCCCAGCCTCACCCTGCAGAAGTCAGTCCTCTGCACGCTCACTCACCGAGGCTGCCCGCTGCTTGCACCAGCTCTGCCGGAGGCTCTGGAGAGCCCCAGGATGAAGCTGCGCTCTCGACCACAACCACAAGGAGACTGAGGGGCGCGTTTGCAGCATTCGGGGTGGGGGCAGCTGACCACTCACTGTACCGCCCGCAGTGAAGCTGTTGTGCTGCCGTGCTGCCTCAGGAAGGGCACATCAGGATTAGAGGGAGATTGTTTGGTGGCAGAAAAAATGAAGGGGAAGTGCAAGCGATTGTGTGGCCAACATCAGCAGGGTCCTCAGGTCCCTGCACTCGGCGGGAGAGACAGAGGCCGAGGTCCTGTGTACAGCCAGCCTGATGGTACCTTTGAGTGTGTGTCTCAGACCGTGTCGTGCTGCTGTGTGTGCAGTGAGGAGCCTGAGCGCCCAGGAACCCTCAGCTGCAGAGCCCATGATTCGTCGGCCCCAACGTGGCTGCACCTGCTGCAGGTCAGTGTCAGACAAGTGCTCTGAGTTTGTGATGGAGATGGTCCCACCACACGGGAGTGTCACCAGTGTCCATGGTTACACTCCTGCTCTGTGAGAGGACTCATCAGGAGTGGTTGCTTCCCTGCAGGGGCTGCACTGAGCTGAACTGTGTGCCAGGTTTGTATCTTAATAATTTTTAGAACGAAAGCATCCTGGTCTTTGCACCTGGAGAATAGAGAATGTTGTCAGTGGTGAAAGGATAAGTTATGGTTTCCTCATGTCCAGAGCAGAGGGCAGGCCCGTTGTTCCCACAGCCAGTGGAAATGTGAAGAGGATTCTCCTGCTGTTCATCCTGATGCTGAGACCATCCCTGGAGGGGCCCGCAGTTCTTCCCAAGACCTCGCATGTAGCTCGCGTGGGGCTTTGTGTGGGAACAAGCCACCACGGAGGAGAAGACGAGGGTTCACCTCCGCTCTGAGTGACACCTTGAACCTTGACCTTCAGAAGTGAGAGGTCACCACTCTAATGTTGTTTGGTGGCAGAAAAGAACGGTCCTCTCCCCTCTGCATGCGCCTTATAGAGTCTGTGAACTTTGACACAGCCGCCTCCCCAGGCCCCCCTTCTTCACATGACACTGGATTTGTTACCAGTCATCCTCGCCTTCACTGCTGATTTTTAACAAAGTTGGACAATCTGCCATCCATTGCTGTCTTATTTAATTTTGCTTCAGTTATGCAAACAAAGGGGCCTTGTATTTCATCGCATCTGTTTTGCTTGTGGTTGAGTAAGGCTTCTAACCGCAGTCCTCTGCCATGCCACCTGAAAGCTGAGCCCCTTCCGTTGTTTTCTGCTCTCACTGCCTCTGTCCACTTAAATTGTTTTCTCATGTCTTTTGCTTGCCAAAGTGCTGCGATTATGTTTTCAAAGAAAAGATTAATAGCTCATTGCTGAGCTTTCTGGGCAACTGACCTGGCAGTTTTGGACTCTGAACTTCAGACGTTGTAATTGCTGTAGACCTCGGGCACGTCTTGCATTTTACCTTTGCTGCCAACTTCATCCACTTCCTTTTTATTTTAACTACTGCAGGTAAATAGACAAAGCACACTGACCTAGTGTTCTGTGTCATAAATCGAAAAATAAACAGTCAGATCTGGGAAGGAATTTACATGTGGAGAAACCAGAGCCCTCATCCCTTGCTGATGGAAAGACAGAACAGTACAGCCACTCTGAAAAGCAGATCGACAACTTCTTAAAAAAAGTTAAACATAGAGTTACCCCATGACCCAGCAGTTTCCCTCCTAGGTATACACCCAAAAGAAATGAAAACATGTGTCCACACAAGAATTTGTACGTGCGCGTTCATAGCAGTGCTATTCACAATAACCAAAACGTGGAAACCCAAGTGTGCATCAACAGGTGAATGGATAAGCAGACTGTGATATATCCATACAGCGGAATACCACTCAGCAATAGAAAGGAATGAAGTTCTGCTCCATTTTGCTAAGTGCGAGAAGCCCGTCGACTTGAAATGTCGAGGAAAGACGAAGCTGTAGGGAGGGAAGGCAGAGCAGTGGCTGTCTGGTATCGGACATGGGAGTGGGGAGCGACCACAAACAGATGTGAGAGGATGTTTTGGGATTGGAGTGTTCTAAAGCTGGTTTATGGTGGTGACTGTACAGCTGAGTAAACTTACTAAGACTCATCAACTCGTACTTAAAATGGGTGAATTTTATGATGTGTACATTGTACCTTGTAAAGCTGTTTTTTAAAATCCCACGGAGGCTAGGATCGATTCTAACAGTGCTTATGCTTTCAGTAAATATTTGTTGAGGACCCCACCCTTGAAGAACTGGCCCCTTTCCGGCTCACGGACTTGAGTGCACTTTCCCCCGGCTTTGTTCCCCCCATGACACTGCCGTGTGGTGGGACAACCAAGCCTGGTGACACCTCACCAGCCCGCAGGCACGCGGCCCTCCACCCAGCAGCCACTGCCTCGGAGTGCAGACTAGGAAGGGAGAGAGCCATTGCCAGGAGGTGTCTGAGGAGGACCTCCAAGGCAAGGCTGTTGACGGGGTAGCTCGGAGACTTTTCTCAGGGACCCATCTTTGTCACACTGCCGTTCTGGGCTGCCTTTCCACCCCATTTTCTCCCCAACCACCAACATCTGTCTTTGTCGTTGTCCGCGGTCCTTCCCATACACCCACATTGGATTCAGGATGACTCTTGTTTAAAGGTTCCATGTGTTCACACCTCAGCTCCTGTTTACTGTGTTTGTGTGTTCGTGTGGCAGCCCCTTTGAGATACACACACTCGGAGAAGATTTCATTCCATCACCAACTTCTGTGGGCACTTCTGGGCAGTGGGTCAGATTTGCTGTGAGCCGTGAATCACTGACCCTGGTCTAGAAGAATGTTATCAGGGGCATTAAGTACCTGCTACACCAAGTGCAGAAACACAGGCGTCAGAGCCATATAGTAGTGAGGTCCAGTACTTTAAAAAGACCTGTGTGAGCCCACATAAGGAGCTCTGGTGGCGCAACGGTTAAGCACTCAGCTGCTAATCAAAAGGTGGCGATTCAAACCCACCCAGCAGCTCCATGGGAGAAGGACCTGGCGATCTGCTTCCGCAGAGATTACAGCCAAGAAAACCCTATTCTGTAACATGGGGTCACTATGAGTTGGAGTTGACACAACAGCACCCAGCAACAACAGCAACAGACCCACACGCCCACAAACGTTCTATGCCAGCCGTCGACAGACTCTCCCTGGCTGTTATTTTCATCTGTTTCTGTTATTTTACACACTTCTTACAATGGAAGTTTCATCAGAAAGAAAAGTATTGTTTTGGTGTTTTCTTTGTTTATTTGTTGTTTTTTTTTTTTACAAAATTATGACAGGCTCACTTAAATAGCCAACAGAATGTGAATCATTTGGAACTAATTCTCTAATATAGCATCAAAATAGAGAAGTAACAGGAATGAAGGTTAGAAATGGAGTCTTATGGTACAAGCTGTTCTTTTTACTGAAACAAACCCTTGAAATTCTGACACTACATGGCTTCATTTCTATCTTTAAAGTTTTGAAAATTTAAGATCAAAATCTTTTAATCAAAGTCCTAGAAGGTTGTTTTTTTTTTTTTGGTAGAAATTGACATGTTTGTTCTAAAATTCATATGGCAAGACATGGAACCTAGAGTAGCCAAAACTTTGAAAATGCAGAGTGGAGTTGAAAGACCATCACTGCCTGGTTTCAAGACTTATAAAACGACAGTAATCAAGACAGCATGGCACGGCATAAGTGTGGACACGCAGGCCAGTGGAGCAGAATTGTTGTTCGCTGCCATTGAGTCGGCCCTGACTCACGGTGACCCCATGCGCCATGGAACGAAACACTGCCTGATTCTGCACCATCCCCGTGATAAACTGAGGGTCAGACCATCGTGATCCATAGGATTTCATCAGCTGATTTTTGGAAGTAGATTGCCAGGCCTTTCCTCCCAGGCCGTCTTAGTCTGGAAGGTCCGCTGAATAGAGAAATGACACACTCAGGTATGGAGAGTGATTCTCAGTAAAGATGCCGAAATAACTGGATAAAGAACTCTCAAAACTAATAATAAGGCAACAAACAATCCAGTATTTTTAAATGGGCAAAACAGATTTGAAAACACGCACGTGAAAAGATGCTCAGTGTCATCAGTCATTAAGGAGATGCCACTTCACCCTCCGAGAACGGTTTAAAAGACTGACCTTACCAAGCGTTGGCAAGAACGTGGAGGGACCGAAGTATAAAATGATGCAACCACTTTGGAAAACAGTTTGGCAGTTTCTTAAAAGTTAAACATAACTACCATGTGACCCAGCCATTCTACTCCTGGGTCTTTACCCGAGAGAAATGCAACCACATGTCCATACAAAGACTTACACACAAATGTTCATCACAGCTTTATTTGTAGCAGCCAAAAACTAGAAACCACCCAAGTGTCCATCAACAGGTGAATGGATAAACAAACCATAGTGCGTCTGTACAACGGAGGAGTATTCAGCAATAAAGAGGAATGAACTATTCATGCCACATGGATGTAGCTCAGGATAATTATGATGAGTGAAAGAAGCCAGACAAAAAGAGCATATTCTGTACAATTCCATTCATACTAAATTCCAGAAAATGCAGACTAATCTATGGTGGCAGAAAGCAGCTCAGTGGTTGCCTGGGGGTGAGGGTGGGGAAGGGCAGGAAGGAGGTGGCATTACAAAGGGGCATCACGAACCTTCTGGGGGTGACAGACATGTGTTCATGGTCTTGGTTATGGGGGTGGGTTTGCAGGTGTGTCCGCATGTCGGAACTCCTCCAGTTTTCAATGTGTGCAGCTTGTATGACACACCTCAGCATAGCTATAAAAAAAGAAATGTATATGCGTATATATATATACATGTATATATATATATATATATATATATATACACGCATATGTGTATATGATACTTCGTGGTTTCATCTCTATCTTTAGAGCTGTTTTGAATTGTTAAGGCCTCAAATCAGTAGGTGTATCTTAAATAAAGTGTATATAACAAACTACTTTCTATACAAATCATTGAAGTTTTATTTGTAAATGTTAAGTTGGCTTGTTTGTTTTTGACTTGCAGAGAGCCGCCCAGGTCTGGGCTGCCGGGAGCTCGTCTTCAGGAACCTCTCCAAGATCCTGCCAGGCCTCTGCCGGGACCTGGCAGACTGGGTGGTGGGCACCAGGGTCAAGGCCGCACAGCTGCTGGCCGTGCTGCTGCTGCATGCAGAGGACCACGCCACGCAGCACCTGGAGCCCGTCCTCCGGGCCCTGCAGCACGCCTGTGCCGACGAGGAGGCCGCCGTGGTCAGCAGCGTGAGTCCTGCTTTAAGCCACATTCACTGAGGCATGACTCATGTGTTGTAAATTCACCCTTTTCAGGTGTGCGGTTAGGTGAATTGCCACACACCTGCAGTCACGTCATCAGCACCAGTTAAAACCAGGAATGTTTCTCTCACCCCCAGAATTTCCCTTGGGTCTTTTTGTATTCAACCCCACACCCAGCCCTCGGCAACCACTGATCTGTTTTCCATACTTGTAAATAGTGATAGCATTTTCTCCCTGGGGGATCCTGGTCATGTCCCCGTGTCACTTTTCTGTGTAGACAGTGCTATTGCAGCGACTTGTCGCCAGGGCCACACTCCTGAGAGTGACAGAGAGCGACTCCCCAGATTCAGCATGGAGGGAGCAGGCACTCTTCTGCTTATCCCATACCCGAGGGGTGTGGAGGTGGCCGAGGGTGCTTTTACAGCATCACCTGCCCAGGCCTGAGTGCCCAGGCCCTGACCAGCCCCGTCTCCATGCCGTTTCCCACTCCCACCACGCACACGTGTATGAAGCAGGGGAACCTCGGTTTCTCTCCTTCTGGTCAGGGGCTCATCTGAGCTAGGACAGTTAGACCCCGAGCTGGCAGGCTGTCCCTCCTGTGCAGACTCTCACACTGCTTCTGGATGGTGGTCGCCATCGTTCCCTACACGACTGGGTGGGCTGCAGGAGGGTGAGGAGATCTTTGGGGGTCAGGGCATGGCCCCCCCGTGGACCTGAGGTACTGTGTCCTGCTCCGTCTCACAATGATAGTGCAGAAGGGCACACTCACACTCACCCTGCCATGGTAGTGCGTGTGGCACTCTCACCCACCATGGTAGTACAGAGGGGCACACCCATGTTCACCATGATAGTGCATGGGGCACACTCAAACCCACTCTTACCATGATAGTGCACAGAAGACACTCATACCCACCATGATAGTGCGCAGGAATACACTCACATTCACCATGATAGTGTATGGGGCACGCTCACGCTCACACTCACCATGATAGTGCACAAGACACACTTGCTCACACCCACCATGATAGCACACAGGGCACACTCATGCTCACACCCACCATGATAGGGCACAGGACATGCTCACACTCACACTCACCGTGATAGTACATGGGGGCACACTCATACCCACCCACCATGATAATGCACAGGGTATGCTCATACTCACACCTACCATGATAGTGCACAGGGCACGCTCACGGTTATTATGATAATGCACGGAGGACGCTGACACTCACGCTCACCTGACCTGGAATACGTCCTGGGTGCCATGTTGGGTCTGGTACTCTGGAGGGTAACTGTAAAACTCTTACTTGGCAGTGAACACTGAGGTTTTAGGCTAGAATATCCTTTAATCCTGAATCTTAAATTCTATCGTGCTGAAATTTTGCTAACTGATTTATTTTTTAACTCTTCTAAGTCACAGTTACTAATTTGAAGTAAATGTTTCGGGTCCATATTTTAAAAACAACTCACTTTAAACCCATTATTTACAGTGGTCATGAGCTTTTGCTTTTCGGAAACTACCACCAACTTAAAATTGCTGTATACTGCCCTTTTTTTAGGAAATACGGCATAAACTTTAGATTAGCCACTCTTTCTATAAGATTTTTTTTTTTTTTAAATAAACCATTATCATCTCATACGAAACTTTTGAACTTCGGTTTTCCCCACAGAAAAAGTTCAGGTTGCACAGTGATTTCATTTTATAGGTCCCAGTCTGATTTTACAAAGGATGAGAAGATTAAGTGGTAAAAAGCATCAAACAAATGCTCTGTTAAATTGACTGTGTTTAATGGAAATTTAAAAACTTTTAGCCACATAGGCTAATTTTTGGAGAGAGGGTACTTTCTAATGCTCAAGACATTTGCTCCACAGAGAACTTACTCTGTTTACACAACATAACAATTCCTAACACAGGGTCACTGAGTACAGGGCTTCGCTAGGGTCCGTGGCTGAGTGTTAGGGCAGACGTGAACCCTCTGAAATTATGTGCAGGATGTGGGTGTTTGGAGTCTTCAGTTAGATTTTTTAGAGTATTTCACTAAAAAATGACAAAAACGGTCGTGCTAGCAAACTCCGCAGTCACAGTGGTTCTAAGCATAATTCCCAAAGGCCACTGCAGCTGTGATCTGAGTAAACACCTCCCCCTGCCCCACCATCCCTAACCCTGGCGACCACTGTTCTCCATTTCTATACGTTTGTCATTGCAAGAATGCTGTATCAGCAGAATCACACAGTGGGTGACCTTTTCACTCCGCACAATGTCCTAGAGATCTATCCAGGTTGCATGCATCAATAGCTTGCTCCTTTTTATTGCTGAGTAGTGCTCCATGGTATGGAGGTACCAAAGTGTGTTTAACCATTTATTAATAGAAGGTTTAGGTCTCTGGTATCAGACAAGGGGGGCAAGGTGAGAAACTTGCTGGGATGGCCTCATTCGAGCTCTCCCTGCTCAGCCATACACATCGACGTCTTGTTAACTTTCTTCTCATGGAAGTTCTGAGAGAGCATGAGGACTTGTGTATTTTCCGTAAGTGTTTTGAGCACATACCAAGAAAACTTTAGCGCAGACTGTTCCTGGTAGGTGGAAAGGCCTGGAAGGCAGGCAGCAAGGTGTAGAGAGGGAAGTGGGAGAAGTGTGGCTGAGCCACGGGACAGGGGCCATGGAGGACCATTGGAGCTCTGAGAACAGCGCTTCAGCCATCTCTGCTTTCCTCTCACAGTGCACAAAGTCGGCAGAGTTCATTGGAACCTTTGTCAATCCAGAAGTGTTTCTGAAGTTAATCCTGTCGCCGTTGAAGAAGTCACCCTCGGCCTCCAGCCTCCTGGTCCTGGCCTCAGTCCTCCGGGGCTGTCCTCGAGAAGCCCTGCAGCCCCACCTGAAGGCCGTTGCCACAGAGCTGGCCCAGGCCCACGTCTGCCAGGCGTCTGAGAACGTAAGACTGGGGAGGGGGTTTAAGAAGTGCTATGAAGTTAGACGGTGAAATGATAGAGACAGGGTTCTCCCTGCTATAGAGTGATTGATAATCACTGATCAGTCTCAGTACTGCAACCTGCCCTTGCTGGGCCAGCTGTCATGGGAGAGCCAATGATGGTGGGCCAGGCGCGCTCATCTGCTGTGTGGCCACGTGCTTCCTGCTTCATTCTGCTCTGTCAAGTGTGGGACCCACCTTCCCCAGGTTACCATTTAAGTTTTAAGTTTAAATTAATTAAAATTTAGCTCCGCGGTCATACTAGCCACATTTCAGTTGTTCAGTAGCCACATGAGAGTGCAGGTCTAGAATGTTCCATCGTAGAAGCCTTTTGAACTGCACCCTGCAGGTGAAACCAGGCCTAAAAGAGCTCAGCACTGTCCCCAGGGTCACAGTTCAGCAGCAGGGTCGTGGCCAAGGCCCGTCTCCTCCCACAGGTGAGGCAGGCCACTGCCCACGTCGGCCCACGCTCTTCTAGTGCAGATAGCACCTTTTACATCATGGCTGCGATCTTGTTCCTCATCTGCTTCACTTGACAGTCTTAACAATGTGCTTAGAACAAGCAGCCTGCCGATGTGACACTGGTATTGGAATCTGTGTTAGCAATGAAAAATGTGTTTCATTTTAAATTGAGCAGTAAATCCATCGAATATGAAGCTGAAACAATCTAGGTGGTAAGGTTTAATCACTTGGAACAATTAATAATTGTTTTTGTTGAAGAAAAAAATAATTGCTTTGTTTTTGTTTGGTTGTGATAAGCTTAAAGCCTGTAAGTTTATTCGCTGGACTGTGGGCCCTCCGTGTGCTGAGAGACACTGCCATTGCACCAGCTTGATATTTTGTTTGTTTGTTTCTAATTTTATTGTGATGAAATATATATAACAAAATATGTATATATATAAAGTATATAAATATACATAACAAAAACTCCGCCATATTAACCATTTTAAAGTGTATAATTGAGTGACATTAATTACTTTCACCATGTTGTATAACCATCACCACTGTTTATTTCCAAAAGTTATTCATCTCCCCAAACAGAAACTCTGTATCCCTTAAACAGTAACTTCCCATTCTCCTGTCCCCTCCCAGCCCCTGGCAACCACGAATCTACTGTCTGCCTCTATGATTTTTGCCTGTTGTAGACGTTTCATATTAGTGGGATCAGACAATATGTGTCGTTTTGTGTCTGGCTTCTTTCACTCAGTATAATGTCTTCAGGGTTCATGTGGCATGTGTCAGGACTTCATTTCTCTTTATGGCTGAGTACTACTCCATTGTATATTTCACATTGTGTTTATCCATCATCTGTTGATGCACACTTGGGTTGTTTCCACCTTTTGGCAATTGTGAAAAGTGCTGCAGTGAACAATGGTGTACAGTATCTGTTTGCATCCCTGCTTTCAAGTCTTTCGAGTACGTACCCAGGAGTGGAATTGCTGAGTCATCCAGTAGTCCACTTGGCGACTCCGTGTATTATAGAGTGGAGCTAAGTTCCTTAGGGGTTTTCTTGGTTATCATCTTTGTGGAAGCAGATTGCTAGGCCTTTCTTCTGTGGCACTACTGAGTAGGTTCAAATCCCAACCTTTAGATTAGTAGTTGAGCGTGAACCATTTGTGCCACCTAGGGAGTTGAAACTGACTTCACAGTAACGGATTGGGTTTGGTTTTGGTTATGGTTGTTCTGTGTTCAGCTTTTTGATGCCAGCCTGATATGTTAAGGCCCATATTGTGGCTATAAGACTGGACCACAGTGAAGCGACCATCTACGAACGCAGGTCCCAGACTCGGTGCTGGGAAGTCTGCTTCCCTGTGTATTTGCGGTGCTTTGTCCAGTCTCCGACTTTTAGGTGAGCATGGGATGCAGTGAGCAGTTGTGTTTGTAACACGTTTTCAGGAGTCTGTTTGAAACACAGACAGTGGGAACTAGTCTGAGCACTCAGGAAGGGAGTGGGGATGGGCCGTTGACCTTGATGTTTTCAACTTTTCAAAACCGACTTTTAATCATCGCATCTACATGAGTTCTGCATTTTCACTTACAAATAGCTTTGACACGGATTTTGATTCCACCACATGAATTTGCAAGCCAGAAGCAATTTTTTCTCCTAGTAGGATATAAGTGGAAACTTTGGAGAGGTGTTTAATAGATATCTTACAAACTTTATAGCAAGGAAAACAGAATTTTCATTTCTTAATGTTGGTTGTAGATAGATTTCATCACCTAATCCATCATAGGTTATGTGTCTGGCTCCTCATCTTCCAGTTTTATCAGCTGTGAATTTACTTGATGATCTTTTAAACATAGGGATACTTTCCAACAATATCAGCTCACTGTAGACTTCTCTCCTTGAAGCCAGCCCTTCAGTATTCCAGCGCGTAAACATGTTCTGACCTCCGACCAGGCCAAGAAACCATCGGAGTAAAAGCCCAACATGCCCTTGTACTCCTTTGTTGACAGACTTACATCTCGGGCAAGAAGAGATGGGCACGTTCAGGTCTTGGTCAAAGGCGTTTCTGTTTCCAAGGTGAACGTGCCTGTCTTCTCGTCCAGGGTGACTCACGTGTGTTTGTGTAATGCCATTTAGGAAGTAGTTTATGATTCCTGCAATTGTTACTCAATAAGCTGTAAGAGAAGGTGAAGAATGTCTTCCAAGGACAAACTGAGATTTGAGAAAATCATACATTAAGCAAGACACAGAAATTCGTGCAGATGTGTCTTCAGCTGAGGCTCCAACCTGAAACGCTCCTTTGTTGTCCACGGAAGGTACTTTCCCAGGTGTCATGAGCCGAGTGTTGCACCTGGCGCTTAGCCGAGGGGAACCCGATCCTCCTCTTTGAAATGTGTTTGTTTAGTGACAGGTAACTGAAATACAGAAACTGTTTGATAACATAAGGATAACTCAGTTATTCATGTTTAACTAAAGGAAAACAGTAGTTCAGGAGTGTCTTTGCTGTTACTAAAACGTAAAAGTCTCTAGCACTTGATCTAGTGAATTAAAGTTTTTGCAATTTCAGATAACAGATTGTTTCAGGAGCAAAAAGTATGGAGTATCATTTCCTGCTGGGCCTTTTTTTCTTTGTGTTTGGGGAGGTGGTGGAGGGGCAGATATTGAAAAATTTCTGTTTGAGTTTCTATTTACCTATAGAGGAATCTAGAAATGTTAAGGTCTCGTTATTTCCTCAAAGAAACGTTGGCATATTCGTAGCAACCGGGTAATGCTCACTTGAAAGAGACACCCACTCCTTTGTCAGTCCCAGTGTTTGGGCGTATAATGACACAGCACAGCAGAGGCTCATAGTGGCTCGCACCTTTTAGAAGTAAATTCCTTTTCATTGTAATTTGAAAAAATGATGGCTCCTTAAGTATATATTATAGGTCCTTCGAGAAATTAGCTGAGATCATATCCTCAAAAATCAGTGAACCCAGACCTAAAAGAAGTGGGCTGTGGGAAAATTAACGGCTGAATAAGAACACAAACCCGTGACTTCTCCCAGGAGTTGGAACACCCAGTCCTCACAGGCTGGCTCCACTGGGGAAGGTCCGCGCCCTTCAGTCAGCCCTGAGAGGTCCCATTTGGTTTGGGGTCCCTGTGGGTTAGGGCAGGGTAAGGCTGAGGGATGTGGGGCCATCTCCTCTGTGAGCCAGTAGGAATGTTTAGTTCAGACCTCCATGGTTCCCGTTGTTTGGTGCAGACCTCCGTGGTTCCCGTCTCTGTGGATGAGTGTTTAGTGCAGACCTCCGTGGTTCCCGTC